GGTGATCAGGCACTAAGAATACACCCAATAAAAGTGTATAAACAATTAAACTATATTTAAAATGTGCCGAGGTGGAGAACAAAAACGTATGTAAAACGTAAATGTGTACAAATAGGTGATTCCTCCTAATAAAAATGACATCATAATGTGCATAAAAAACGAATGTACAATGCGTGATGTAAATAAAGATCGTATGATGTGACAGTAGATCCCTCCAATTCATGGATCAAGATAATAAATTCATCTATAAAAGCTCCAAAACGTGAAGTAAGTCTATACTCCGATACGGTGATAACCGTTCACTTCTTCCTTTACCAATTCACCCCGTGCGCCACACCACATAGAGGGGTGCTCACCTTGTCGTTTTGACCCAGATAAGAGGTCAAACCAGGCAATTCCATTTTTAACCAGGGGAGGGGACCCTTGGCTCCGATCTTAGTATGCAGACTTAACGTTTTGACCCAAATAAACGGTCAACCCTGCAAATCACTTCTTAGGGGAAGGAACCCTCGGCTACGCTCCGTATAAGCTTCAATATGTGGTGATGTCACAAAGTTTGCAATACCCCAGAAGATAAAAAATATACCATAGCACGTACCATCCAAAAACAGCTACTTGCATAAAAACATGCGTTTCTCAGCATGGAATAAATGGCAAAAAACCTCCCACGGGAAACGCTCACAGGAAATCCAAAGACTGCAGCCGTTCAATAATCCCGGTCAGTGTCCAGGGTTCCCAGGAATGCCTATATAGATAAACATCATTGGTGTGCAACTCCCTGAAGCAGCTAAATGACGACATTCGTCTGTATGGTATTTGCCCAAACAGGCTATTGCTCTAGTGCTGGACTTTTAGTTTTATTAAGCATTTCCTCTACTTCCCAGTACGAAATGGGAAAGATCCATAGTATCCAGGTGTTTGGTAAAATGATACGAAAACTATTTCAATGCTTTTACTGTTCAAGTTTTCTTTACCTGACTAAGGCATTGGTGTGTGTTCTGGCATTTGAAAAGATTTCCCTCCTTCACAGGGGGTCTTCATGTGGATTAAAGACTGTGGGGTCTACACTGTTGGACATTGCAGTGGTTGTACTGGGAGCAGATTAAGTAAGAGACGTACTGCATGGAAACTCTTTGCTAAAACTGTGGGGACTACACAGGCACAGAATTTGATTTGTGGAACATTTGCTGAGTGTTTGTGAAATAAAAATGGATTTTCGGGTCTAGAATCTCGCTTCTGTTTTGTGATCTTTTGACAATACAATTTTCAGTTGTGTGGAAATGATTACCATCACGTTCACCAAGTTTGTGACCCTGATGTCATGACATCACCAGGTCAAATTTCACATCTGTGTTTTTTTTGTTCAACAGATAAAACATATTCAGATCATGGTAGGCTGGTTTTAACACACAAACTATCAGGATATGGTGTGGATAGCCTCCAACTGTAGGATCATTTTGGTTCAGGAAATTAGATCAAAGCCCAATTGCGATTTGGTTAGAAGTGAAAATCAATATAAACACATTGGGTGTACTGAAATAAGGTTATAGTCTTAATGAAGGAGCCACTGCTATCTGTATGGAAGTGTGCGCATTGCTGATTAGAGAACTGTAGCTCTAACTCAGTGGAGGGCATGCCTGACCTCCTATAGAGAAACCACTGCTTCCAGACTGAAAGTGTAATGCTGGAACACTGACATTATAAGAGTAAGACCTTTACTATTTTTCAGTCCTTTTTTCTATTTTTTCTTTTTCGTAAACTAAAATTGGGCTTTAATATCCAAAGTTAACAAAGGATGTAAGATTGTAGGCATTACCAGGGGGGTGGCCAGCTGGCATTAACGTGGCTGATGGGATGTGAGAAGCTTTGCCAACCATAAATAAAAACAGTACAGCAATATAGCTGTTAAATAAACATATATATTTTCTGATCTGACAGTTGGTCACTACATCAGTACCACTTTATGCAAAAATCCAAATAATTAGCAGTGGATTTCTTTTTTGTATGACTGGTGAATCCACAGTTTGGTTTCCATGTTTAAAGGCAATGTGACTTTAAGATAAAATGACATCTGTGATCTGTGGTGAATTAGGAGTAGGAGAACTGGGTCTTGTTTCTGAACATTTTAGTCTTCATCTGTTCTAAAGAAAGCTGCCGCTGTCTTTAATTTGCTGTTGTGTATGTTGAACTTTTTGCATGTATAAATAATGCAGTGTTTCTAAGAGAGGATATGTAACCTAGTTACTCAGCCTAATGTTTTACAAACCGTGTATATGGTGTAATTTAAAACCCTGTATAGTGGCTGAATGTTTCATCGATCAATGGGATGATTCGCAATGGATTGTGCATTAAAGACCTTGGAAAGACAGCTATCTGGGGCTGATGTCTTACTTAGAAATATCATACTTGGTGGTTTGACCAATGATGTATGTCCATTTTAGCTGGCTATCACTGTGTCCGCTATCGGGTCAACCATTTCTTCTGGTGGTTTAAATTAGGCTGCTAAGGTTGAATATACTAAAGCATGCACTCATGCAGTATCTTATGCACTATTAAGCACAGTAATACCTTGGTTTTCGAGAATAATTTGTTCTGGAAGCATGCTTGTAAGCGAATTTCCCCATAGGAAATAATGGAAACTCAGATGATTCGTTCCACAACCCAAAAATATTCATCTAAAAATTATTACAATACTGTACTGTGATATAATACAAAATATAAAGAAAATCAAACCAATTACAGGTACCTTCGTGGCTGGTGTGATGGAGACAAGAGGAGGATTATTGTGTACGACTTTCATGATCACGAACAGAATCACTGCTATCTCTTGTGTCAATGGAATCTTTTTCATTTCGTGAAACCTAAACCAAGAATCTATCCAATGACACTTGCTGTTGCCTCCTTTTGAGGATTTTGTGGAAATGTGACATTGCATTGTCCTTTAAACAGATTCATCGTTTGCACTACTACAACCTTATTCGGGTTGTGCTAATCTACAAAATGTTGCGGTCTCCCACATTTTACACATCTCCCTAATCTTATTTGAAGTGATCGGCGTCACGTCCTGCTCGTATTGCAAGACATTGCTCGTATATCAAGGCAAGATTTTTCAGAAATGTTTGCTTGTCTTGCGGAACACTCGCAAACCAAGTTACTTGTAAACCAAGGTATTACTGTAGTCTTATCAGTTCACTAAAAGTTTTTTCACATGAATCAGTATTTTGAATGTAAAAGTTACATTTATACATTTTATTGCACTAGTTTTTAGGGATGCACCGCTATATCGGCAGCAAATGGCACTTTTGGATAAATGCCGAAAGTGCCATTTTTCTGCCGATACATCGGCGCATCTGTGATTTCTTTCCTCCCTGCTGGGCGCTGCTCTGTGTCCCAGCGGGGAGGAGAGAACGTGACAGCTGGCCGAGCACTGCGGGACGAGAGCGCTGTGATCGGCCGGTGTCTCTCCTCCCAATCTGCTCAGCCGGCTATCACAGTGCGGCAGAGCAGTGTGGGGGTGGAGACGACGCTGTCACAGGAGGCTTGGCTCTCCTCTCGCACCGCTCACTCAGCCTCCTGTGACTGTGTGTGTCAGGAGAGCAGGCTACAAACACTCAGCGATCAGTGATTGCTGAGTGTTTGTAGATAATTGAGGATATGGTATAGTTAATATATCTTCAATTATGAATGAATGGGAGTGATCTATATCACCTCCTGTTCATTCATAATTGTGGTTATATTAAACATACTATATTCTCAAGTTATGAATGAACATTAACACTCAGTATAGAGGATTCCGGTTCATTGATAACAGGGGCTGCAGAAAAAGATTGAGGACTGTATTCTCAATCTCTTTTTCTATTTTAAAAGGGAAATATCAGGGGTCTGTTTAGACCCCTAATATTTCCCCAAAGCCTCTAAAAGTGTGTGTGTGTGTGTATATATATATTTAATAAAAAAATGAATAAATATAAAAAAATGTAAAAGTTTATAAAAAATAAAATATTTAAAAAAAACATTTTTTGTATCTGTTTCGGCCTGACAATTTTTTCGGTTTTTAAATTTCTATTTCGCTGCACCTCCCACTAGTTTTTGCTCCTTACATGAGCAATGTAAGGGCGAACAAATGTTTGGTATATACTTTCTTAGCATGCATATTTCCCATGTTTTGCCTCATTCATGCAGCAGTGGGTTCACAGAATGTTAAAATCTTAGCTTGTACTGACATAAGAAAGTGTGTGTGTGTGTGTGTGTATTAGATGGATAGAAAGAGATTATATGCAGTATGATTATAATGCAGTACGGACAACTGTTTATGCAGGATCTAAGGTTTGCATTGCGATATGAGAATTTTAAATATCAGTATTGCATGACTATAAAATAATGAACACAGTTAAAATAACTTGTACAACCTAATTGACCCCCAAGTGTGCTACACAAATGCATAACCATAGACAACCACTAAGGTGGACATAGGATATCATCGATGGTTCCCTTTTTAGACTGCCCAATTGTCGTCAGTATATTTAGTATTGTACTAGTACCTTCCAGTGTCGGTTTAAACTGTTGATGCTTTATGTACTTAAAAGGACGTTCTATGGATTTTTTATTTTTCATGTAACAAATAAGCATTCAATAATGGGTTCTTCCATAACTTATTTGCAAAGGATGCTGAACTTTCTTAGAAGAAAGCCCAGCAGTGCCATTACATTTGTTGGTAGTTGTGTGTAACGAAGATATCCAGTCTCTACTTGGAGAGAGAAAGAGGGGAGGTTGTCCCTAATGAGTCTTTTCAAGCCTGTTTTAGCAGAACAGCAGTAACATAGGCACTTGGGATTTTTTTTCTTTCTCTGTAACATCAGTTTGGGAATATTACTTGCATAATACATTGATGGTTGTCCTTTTCACTGCTGTATAGATATACAAGTAATTATGCTTTTACAACAGGTATACAACAAGCAGAATATGAGCACACACCCTCATTTTTCTCCTTCGTTTACTAGGAATGTGAGTTCAGATGGTGCAGAAGCTCGTAGGAGGCTGCGGGAGTGTGATGGGCTGGTGGATGCTTTACTACATGCATTACAATCTGCTGTTAGTAAAAAGGACACGGACAACAAGGTGAGCTGTTCCACATGATGGTATAGAGTGGGATAGTATAGTGCATTTTTAGAGGGCATATTTTGGGTTGTTACTGTAGTGTTTTCTAAGAGAAATATGGGGGGCTGCCATTTCTAACCTGTCCCTTTTTTTTTTGTGCCTTTTAATACTTCCTGCTGATTTACCGACCTGGATTAGGTATGCAGGTCGGGGAAGGCAGAGGAATGTCATGTGTGTACTTTTTTCTGTGTTAGTGTCTCTTAAAGGCTAATTCCAGCTTTTTGTGGCCATGTTTCATGTTATACCCATATTTAGGGTGTGACATAAAACCATGGTCACTGTCCCCAATTTCCTCCACTTGCCTAAATCATGGGGTTCTTCCCACCACAACATCCTGTGTATTTGTTTCTAATTTGGCACAGCTATACTTTGCTTCACCCACATAGACACATCATCATTCAGATTGATTCACAGATCTGTGAAAATAGAAAATTCAAGGTCATTCTGCCACCATGGCAAAGGGACTCCTAGATCTTAATGGCGCAGAAGTGTGGTGACATCACATTTGTAGTCCATTGATTGCTTTCTCCAGCCCCATAACTGAAGTTCCATACCTCCTATATGGACCTGGAACTGGAGAAAGGGCCTACAGGAGCTTGTGCATTGCACCTGTGATCAATGCATTCCAAACCAATTTTTTACAAAAGGTGGAATGTTTTCCTTTATAAGCATTTGCAGCAACAGTCCTAACATGACAGCTAGGCAACTAGATTAGCAAAATATGAAGTCCGTAATGCCAGCTGCAACTGTGTTTCTCTGAAAACATAGGTTCTTTTTAATCCCTTTAACTTTTCTTTGCTTCACAGTCACTCAACATCAGGTGAAGCCTCCCTGTGTAAGCTTATGAGTTGTTTAAGTTGTAGTTTACTGCTCTGGATTACCCCCCATGTGACAATGCTGGTGCTTGGTGATGGCCCCAGCAAAGTCATATGGAGTAAACCATATTCTCCATAAACTTAAGTACTGGGTATCATAATCCAAAGAAAAGCCGCACGCCGCCTGTTCACCATCCACGTAGTTCATTCTACCCAACAACCAATATGGTAAAAATCCCTGCCTAGTGGCTGCCCATCTCTGAAGTGTTCCACCCTTACGGGCTTGGTCATAGAGAGCCCACAAGTTTAACACGTGTCAGAGGTGATTAGCCACCGGGCAGGAATTTTTAACATGTTGGTTGTTGGATAGAATGAACTACATTGATGGTGAACAGACTGTGTGCGGCTTATCTTTGGATTATGATACCCAGCACTTCAGTTTATGGAGGAGAAAATGCTTTACTTCATATGACTATGCTGGGGCCATCACCAAGCACCTGCATTGTCACATGGGTGGTCCAGAGCAGTACACTACAACTTAAACTCATAGCTTACACAGGGAGGCTTCTCCTGATTTTGAGTGACTGTGAAGCAAAGAAAAGTTAAAGGGATTAAAGAGAACCTATGTTGTCAGAGAAACACACAGCTGCAGTTGCCATTACGGACTTCATATTTTGCTAAATCTAGTTGCCTAGCTGTCAGGTTAGGCCGGTTGCTGCAATGCTTATAATGAACGAGATTTGTAGATTCGCCCTTAGAGGCTGGGCAGATAATACGTTACAATCATTCTTCATCACTGCTTAGTAACTGCTGAGATAAGGTATCGGAAACACAGGGTGTTGACTGATTTCAATGAGTCAGCTGACACAAGTCAAGTTTTATAACAAAGCGTTATTGTTTACACAGAAAAACCATGGGATGTTCTTAAGACAGTTAGCTTAAAAACCTTTTGACTTTAATATCACGCTTTTTCAAATCCTGATGAAATCACTTACAATGGACCCTGCTTGTTGATTAAAACTTTTAGCTTCATGCAGAATCCGCTGGTCCCCTGAGCACTGGTCCTGCCTTCCTGTTTTAGAGCGACTCCTTTCTCAGAGTGCTATGCAGTCACCCTTGTGTGTACTAATAAGCTGTATGTGTGTCTCCACAAACACACAGCAAATCAAGCTACTCCCCTTCCCCCTGCTCCCCTCTCCTCCCTTCTCCAAGCTAGCAGATGAACAGTTACTGAAGTGATCTTGTACTGGACAGGAAGTTCAGGGAAGCCGAGCTGTGAGACTTCGTAGCAGTTGTTGTAAGTGTTTGCTCAGCAAAGCATTGCTTTACTTTTTTGCCCAAAGTAGATTTGTTTGCTCTGGATTCATTATTGAAAAAAGTTTGCGAGTTTAATACTACTTTAACATTGCTATAGTAGTAAAATGGGTGAATTTGTCCCATAGAAGTTCATATTGAGCCATGAAAACAATCCACCACAAATCTGTATTACTCACCTGATCCTTTATGGTCAGTGCTCACCTCTCTCCCCTCCCCTCCACTGCAGCAGCTATGGAATGTCCCACGGCGGTCTCATGTCTAATGCTGTTCAATTGACCTGCATAAGATATGATGTCAGCGGTCCTTAGACTGCCAGAGTTCAGGGGTGAAGAGGCTGCGGGGACCAGTTCAACAGCCTGAGGAGAGCTGGGGAGATCGAAGATCAGGTGATTAATACAGCTATATATGTGCCCCCTAGACAAAACGGGCATTTAACCTTTGCATTGCAGGGGTAGCTCCACTGCAAAAGTAAGTTGTTGGGGGTTTTTGTTTACCCCGGAGTGCTTCTAAGCGCTTTGAATGAACATATCTATACCAATGTACCAGGCAGTAAAGTATTACATATTTCTGGTGGTTTTAATGCGATAGATTGCAGTTCAAAGTCACATAGGGCTTATTAATGTAACTAGATACTTGTATGTATTGCCTGTAGTCATAGGCCCTAAGGGTAAGTGAGGCACAAAGTGTGTGGACTAAACTGTGTTGCCTATTGAGATTTTACCTCGCTTCACTTATAGCAAGTATATAAGGTCTTGTTTCCCTTTTGCTTTCAGTCTGTGGAAAACTGTGTGTGCATCATGCGTAACCTTTCTTACCACGTCCACAAAGAGGTTCCGGGAGCAGACAGATTCCATGACTTAGACAGCACATTGCAGAGTGGGATTGGCGGGCAGCAAAAGAAAAAGAAAGACGATGCTGGCTGCTTTGGAGGCAAAAAAGCTAAAGGTAACTTGGCTATAACAGTGTAAGTGGTCTTCATGCGTTCTGGCAAAAATCACCATTTTAAACACCTGAGCCTCTGTTCCCAAACTCAGAACACACACAATACTGTCATTTTGGTGCATGATTTGCTAACTTACTTTTTTCCGATTTCATTAAAGGTTCTATTGCAAGTATCTGCAGACTTTGCCATGTACATGTTCTATTTTCAAATTTTGCAGTATGTTGTATGTAAACGTCAGTTCAAAGATAATCACTTGGGATTTCACTCTTGCAAATATCACAAGCTGCTGTCTGGCATTAACAGTGAGTTTTCATGAGCTCTTTGTTGAGGAGAGCAGGAAAAGGAGATCAATTTATAAGGCATAGAGGCGTTCAATAGTTAAAGTATATCTAAAGCCAAAACAATTTTTTCTTCTCATTTTGAACAGACTGGGGGAGGGTTAAGACCACTGTCTGTTGTGGGGTTTTTTGGGGGGGTTTTTTTTCTTCCTTTTGGGTATCAGTCGGGAGATTTCACTGGACTTTGTCCTTTTTGATTCAACAGGAAGGGAGAGCATATCTTTCCAATGTTAGGAAAATCCCCCTCTGAGACAGTTGTCACAGAAAACGGTGTCCCAATTGGAAGATTTCCCTTCTATTCTTGTTCTGGTGGCAACTTTAAAATTTTGGCTTTACTCTGTTCATTCCTGGTGGCATTTAGTGAGGGTGAATCTCCCTAAAAGGGCAAACAGACAGCAATATAAACCTGATGGGAGAAGAACATCACAGATAATGATATACAGAATACAAAAATACTACTGTCAATGATAACGTGGTAATGCAAGAATATTAAGCATGGTCTCTTACGGCACCATCTGGCCACTGCATGTGCTGTGATTTTCTAGGTGGTGGAAGTCTACAACTGCCTACCACCACAGAATGGGTGTGTGAAATAGATGCAGGTAAAGAACTTGAAGGACTAGTGACCTAGTAGGGCGACAAATATGACCAATACTACATGACATGGGCACAGTGGGACCACTTTCGGAATTGTCCAACACTGGCGTTGATCTTCTGTCAACCCCCCCCTTCTTTTCTTTTTCCCCCGTCTCTTTTATTTTTTTCCCTCCTATGCAAAGTGCCTTTTATTCTTTCTGTGCATTCTTGTGGCACCAGTCATATCTGAATCCAAAAATGTGGGCTATGACAACACTACTGGACACAAGTGTCTGCTAGTTAGTCTCTGTGCTCAATTGGATGTTGAAACATGTTGGCTTGCTGCTTCAGTGAACCCAACGCATGTATGGTGCGATCTCTATGTCCATGTTTTGAATGCTAACTGCTTTTTGTACTCTGTTTTCAGACTCTGCTTTTTCTGCTATTGTTGCTGTATTCCATTTATACTTTCAGATGATGTGATAAAAGTTTGTTTTCTATTCACTTTTATGCAAAACGAATAAAACTGATTGAATATATATATTTAAAAAAACCTGATGGGAGTTCTAACCCCTCACCACTTTATCCAAGTTTTAAAAAATTATTTTGGCTTTAGTTATACTTTTAAATGTTAATGCCATGCAGAAATAGAACAATCTCATATAAATGTGGTATTCTTGTTATCTACCTGTTTTTTGATTCAAAAATTATCATACGTTAACTAATGAATACATTGTAAAAATAACCCATGCAGCTTTGTGAATTGACATTTTTGTTTAGTGGAGTCTCCTACTGTGCAAATGAATTGTCAGTCAGTGGGAATGCTTGTTCAGTCATTATGTGCAGGCTTGTCTCCGGACCAAAAAAAACCCCTCCGCTGTGTCACTTTACAATGCATATTTATGCTTGTATACATGTGTATCTTACTGTACATTTCAGACTGTTTAGGCATGCTCAGTTATTATACAGAAGGGAGTTTTTCAACAGCAAGGATTTAGTCACAGAAACTTCGGAGTTGATAATGATCTATTAGCTCACAAGGTAAACGGAGGTGCTCGCTGCCTCTTTTGTCTACCACCCACCCCTAGCTTGTTATCACCAAAACTTGGGCAAAGTCTGGCTTGCTCAGGCTTGCTGTGATTGTGTTTGTAGAGGCTACATTCCAGCTACATTCCTTGTCATGCTCTGTCGCATGTGTGTTATGGCTCCTGGTGTCCATCTGCAGGCCTTGCCCCATTACTACAAATGACAAAATATTCAGTACTGTCTGTATAACTGTGCCAGTGGGACAATGGAAATGGGCAGGTATAGTTGTGTCTAATAATGGAAGGCACAGGCAGGCTAGCAATGTGATTTATTGGCTGAAGTACCATTGCTGCTTTTATTTATTTTTTTGTTACATGCATCTTTTTATATTGTTTTAGCAAAAAGAGAATTGTTACATGGTTCTGCAATAATCTTTAAGGGCTTGTTCACACCAAGCGCCTTCCAGGAGCAGAGCAGTTACAGACCGGATTAAAACTGCATCCAATGTATTCCAATGGTATTTTGGGCTCTAGTTCACACCGCAGCGTTCAGTTCCAGAGCATGTAAAAAAAACTGCAGCAAGCCCTATTTTACCTGCTCTGGAACGCATTCAAGCGCCCAGAACGCATCAAAAAGGCGGCACAACCCACTGCACTGTGTGTGCAGAAACCCGTGCAGATCTGGTCTGCATTTGGTGTGAACAAGCCCTATAACAGCACAGCAAAACCAAGTGACTTGATGGAAGGAAATCATCTATTAGTTTAGTGTAGACTAATGCGTGTGGGTTTGGTTGTTGGCTACTGTCCAGCAATTTCTCTCTGCTGTTTTTGGTTTAAAGAATGAAAACGGTAATACATAAATTTCAGTTGTGAATGTCAGAATGCTTGCGTGTGTTGAGCTGTCTATGGAATGTTTCACAAAACCTACTTCAGGAGCATTCTGTAATCGCAGGCTGTCTGTGTACTTATATCAGCAGTGCATAAATAATAGTAGTTAATTTTTTTATTGTATTTTTAACTTTGTGTATAGCTGAGAAAAGTTAGAACCGCTCTGTATTTACGATCACTGTCTGGGTCTTTGCTGTGGATTTTAGCTGACTGGCACAGGAATTGAAGAGAAATCTCCCAACAGGGCTGCAGACAGCAGTAAAAACTCCCCAATCTACTAGAAGACTAAATGTTATTTTCATATATCGCCTCACTTTCTGTTTCTATGACCACAAGGGAGAGTAATCGTCCCCAGTAAGAACACAAGAAGCAGCAATAAAAAAATGACGGTGGAGGATTTATAGCTTTCCCTCCTCTACCCAGATACAAAAAGCATTTTTGGCATTTTACCACTGTATACATCTTCTATCCTTGTGAAAAGTATTCTTGTGATCTTTTTCCTTTTAAGCCCTTTTGATTTGCAAGCCCTGCAGCTATAGGCTTGTAGATGAGAGTCATCAGAGCAATGTGATTGCCGGTCACATTTTCACACAGTAGCCTGGCCTCTTTTTCAAGGCAGTTCTTCTTTTTTTTTTTTTTTTTTTAAAGGAAACTCTGGGATATTATGGAGCCTTCCATTAAAGGAGAATTATGAGGTGAGTGATTTTCACTCAGCCTCATAATCTGAGCCAACCTGTGACAATGAAACTGTCACAGATCGGCTCAGTAGATCGGGAATGAGCGAACACATACCGTCGCTCGCTCACTTCTCGATCTATCCCTGCAGAGAGCCGTGACTGTCACTCATGGCTCCCTGCAGGGATTCCCCATCCCCTCCCCTGTCCGATCCTCCAGCGCTGACTGGCGGAACGGACAGGGGAAGGGGCAGGCACAGCTGGCTCTGGGTAGACAGAGCCGGCTGTCAATCCCGCAGCTGGGTGGATCTCGACAGCAATGTCTGGATCCGTTCCGGCTGCGGCGTCTCAATATACCGCAAGCTGTAGCTCGCGGTATACTGAGCTTTGGGTCACGGGAGGACGCTAGTTTGTGTTCTCCCATGACGCTTAGGAGAACTATGGGGAAAAGCCCTGAACCCATAGTTCTCCTTTTAACCATCCTTTTGCGAATGCTGGTTCCTTGGCTGCGATGCTGAGGCTTTAGCTTCGGTGCTGTCTGAGCCACTGACCTGGAACAGGTATAGGCATTAATAACTTTGTTCACTTTTCTGAAACTCATTTACAGCTTGCTTGTTCCAGACTGTTGCTCAAAAGTACTATTCAGCCAACCAGGAAACTTGTATTTTCATAAGATGGCTAGCAGTGGCAGCCCCCTTACTTCTCTCATGACCTAGTCACTTTAACTATTGTGTCAGGGACAAGTGAACCTTGCAACTAACATGCATTGTCTGCTTTTTAAGTGTGCTCCCTTCCCCATTGCTGAAATGCTGAATAAAACTTGAAAGAACACACCTTTTTGAAGGAAAAAGTAATTCCATGTACTTGCCTTTCCATCTGCTCATGATTGCAACACCAAGGCAAGGGTGATATCATTCTCCTTCCATGGAGATCCAGGAGAATGTAGGGTAGCCCAAATCTTGTTTAGAAGATGATATTGCACTCTTCTGCAACGGTTTCTTGTGAGATTTGAAGAAATCGTAATTTTCCGGGATTTTGTCATCAGTCATCCCCTGCACTACAGATGCCAGGGCATAGATGAGAATATTATCTACCTTTTTTTGTTCCCCCGACTGCTGTCTTTCTAGTTTTATTTAGTGTTTTAGGCGGGGGAGGGGGGCACATTCAAGAAGTGGACCTTCATGGAGTCCAAGTTCTGCTTTTTCAGTTAGTTGCATGCAATAGCCTTTTGGTGTAGGCTTTGCATATCTGAAGGCAACCATGTACTTAAAATGTGCATAATTTAACTATGGTGTCAGTGCTTTTCCCCATAGTTCTCCTAAGGGTAACGGGAGGACACAACTTGCGTCCTCCCGTCACCCAAACCTCAGTATACTGAGATACCGCAGACGGAACGGGTCCCGACAATTCTGTCTGAATCCACCCAGCTGCGTGAGTGACAGCTGGCTCTGCCTATCTAGAGGCAGAGCCAGCTGTACCCGCCCCCTCCCGCATCCGTTTTGCCAGTCAGCGCTGGAGGATCGGACAGGGAAGGGGGGAATCCCTGCAGGGAGCCGTGAGTGACAATCACGACTCATAGATCGAGAAGTGAACGAGCAACAGTATGTGTTCGCTCACTTCCCGATCTATTGAGCCGACCTGTGACAGTTTCATTGTCACAGGTCGGCTCAGATTGCAATCATTTTCCCACATGCAGCCACTAATGTAGATGGCACTCTACTGTAAAATGGGAGCTGATATAAACATCAGTGCAGAGATGCAGCACAGTGATCTCCAGTGTTCCAGATTTGTGTTTTTTCAAATATTACGCACAATTTGCCACTAATGAACCGAATAGGGGAGTGGAGTTGTTCAAATTTTGGGAAAAACATCTGTCCGGATAGGGAACCTCTCTGTTTAATAATTTAAGTCTTATAGGTTTTTTTGTTAAATAGCTCTCGATAAGGGAATAGATTTTAGTCCTTATGTGAAACATTGATGTACATCTACACCTAAATCCTCATCTAGTAACATTTCAGAATGAAAAACTGCTACTCCAACATGGCCTTGCATAAAGAACATGTATGTATGGAACCTGTCCTGGCTTTAGCATGAACTGAATTTTCTCTTTTGCTGACATTGTATACATAGCGGTATCTTGAACTGATTGAGTAAGCCATGCATGCCAGCCACAGCACAGTTTATGAAGGTTTTTTTATCAGTCAAACATTCTCTTTAGATGAGCTGCTTTGGTCAGGACCTTAGTTTTATGCATTCTGCAGTATAGTAAACCTTTTGCTATGTGCCGCAGTAGTTGAAGGCCTCTGGTGTACAGTCTACAGATTTACAGATCTGCATTGTTGTGATTCATCTGCCTTCTTTTCTCTGTCCCTCCTGTAATTCACCTTTCTTCTCTTGCTTTCCTGCTTATTAGAGGAGTGGTTTAACCAAGGTGAGTCTGCACCTTCTTCTGCTTTACCCTTCCTTCACCCTTCATGTTTATGTTTTTATAGATAAGATTCTGCTTTGTTCCCCAGGTCCACTTGATTACAGAGCAAGTTATTTAATGCCTTTTTGTTTTGTTCTGTTATTCCCCATAATAGCAGTTTTTTATGTATGTAGGAAGATCTTTTTGTTTCTACTAACCTAATTTATTGTTCCAAGTGACGAGCCTGCACAGACACAGGCGTCGCCAAAATTTAGCTGTCTCAAAAGCTTGTTGTGGAACCTGGCTAGGAAAGAACTCACACTTCCTATTATAACATTCATACAACCATGAATTGAAATGGTCATGGCCTCTAGGGCTCATATGCATGGACTCCATTTTGTGTGATCACTCATTGCAGTCACTGGTGAATCTCTCTCAGCCCACCATAATATAATCAGCTACACTGTGCAAATGTGTATATATAATGCTAAATATCTGGAAAAGTAGAGATAGGCATGTTTTATATACATGGCTGCAAAACTAATCTGTAGCACACGCACAAAATATTTTAATGTTGGATGGGCCTTGTGTAAAAAAAAAAAAAATCCTTTCCTGTGGCATTGAAGTATATAAGAACATCTGCCGCACTCATTGTAATAGAGTTAAGTCCCAGCCTTGTTTTCCTTCTCGTCAAAGCTATATTTAGATCACTGATTGGAGTGGCCAAAGGTCTGGGCTCTCCTGGAAGGCGTGAACCATGGATTAGGCTTGCTTCACACCCATATAGTAACATGCAGTGTACTGCACGTTACCATACAGGACACACCGTATTGCTGTGTTGCACATTTTAAATAGTGACTTGATGCACCTTGCCAGCACACCTCAACAGACATTAATTTCAACTCACCACAAACTTTCTGTAGAAGGAGATGTGTGCTTATTGCTGTGAGTGCTCTCATACCAGAATATATATATTTTTGGAGTTATTCAATGCAAAGAGCTACAATATTGTGCAGAGTGCAAAATGCATATCAATCCTTTACATTTCATTCTAAGATGTAGATGAATGGTTTCTGATTATTTGCTGTAAATTACTGCAGCTTACATATTGCTCTTTGCTTTACTGAATAAACTCCTAGCATACAGAACCAGTCACCAATGGACATATGTAACACTTTTTTCCACTTGTGAATTGTTAGAATAATGTTCTCTTATCTCTCAGAAATTGCTTTTATTTGGTCCAGAATATTTTTCCTTCTCTTGGCAGAATAGTTTCCTTTGGTGTTGGGCTGATGCAATCAGTTCAGGTCAGTGCTGATAAGACTATCCTAATTCTTTTTAGGTTTACATAATAGAAAACTAAAGCATTACATGTTACTATTTTACCCTCTGGTAACCCAACTCTGTAAATTAACATCTAAGGCTGGGCACACACCTTACAACCATCGCAAGACTTTTGTCTTGCGATGGTTGTAAGGTACTTTAAAAAAATGTATGATCTGCCTATGTTGCATAGGCAGATCGTACTTGCGATGATCGCAAGCCACGCCCCCACTCAGAGGCGTAACTAAAATTTCAGGGCCCTAGTGCAAGAAACCATGAAGGTGCTCCCCCACCACCACCGCCTTGGCTGTTACAGGGCCTGCTTCTTCCTTTCTGGGTCCCCGACAAGTGGCAAAATTCCAGGGCCTGGTCGCACATGTGACCGCAGAGACCCTGGTAGTTCAGCCAGTGGTAGTGCAAGGTGCCTTCTTGTGTGTGACAAATTCATCTATAGCAGCCCAACGCTGCTTAGCTTATATAACTTATATCGGCTGAGCAGTGTTTGGCTGCTATAGATGAATTTGGAGGCGCCTTCCTTCACACCAACGCCAGATAGCCTTTCCCCGTCTATCTAACATGTCCCTCTGTGCCTCGGCGGTTATCGGGGTTCTTTCCTTCTGCCCCCCCCCCACCTACTTACATGTGGCAGAACGCCAGGGCCCGGTCATGCGACTGCTGCGACCCTGGTAATTTCATCAGTGACCTGACCTAATCCTTCTTAATATCCATTGCCCTAACCTGATGCCTAACCATGAACTAAGCAAAAATTATTCAGAGTAATAATTAAGTACAGGCACATTGCGGTGCATGTATGTACCTCAATTAGTCCGCAAATCAATCCTGGTCTCTCTGGAGTCCTCTTAGATCCTAAACCCAGGTTGAACATAGGACCTTGATGTCTGCCCAAGTGGAGGTTAGGACTATGCCCCTTCTGGCACTAAGCCTCAACCGTAATACCCTGCTTGGGTTTGACAATGTATGATGTAGTTGTATGATGTGACAGTTGTATGATGTGGAAGGGCATATCACTGGAACCGGTGGGGCTTTATCTTGACTGGGCATGTACAGTTTGGGCTTAGGGTTTTCATGGGGCTCCATGTAGATTGAATGAATGGTCACTTACAGTTTGGGCTTAGCATCCAATGGGGCTCCACAGGGTTTAAAGACCAACACAGGTGCTGCACTTCAGCTCTGTTTCCTGAGAATTGTTAGGCTCATTTTAAGTGCACTGTAATACTCTAAGGCAGGAGTGTCAAATCCAAACTTACTGGGGGCCATGCTGAGGCTTGTGAATAAAATCAGGGGCTAAACATGAAGGAAAAAAAACCCTGCTGCTTGCCGCGGTACAAAGCTTGGAGTCCACTAATCATTATATGACAGTCCTGGTCCATAAATGGACAGGGACTGCTGACACTTGTACTGCCCTCACACATACGATTGTCATATAATGATATGACTGTCCTGTGTGTGAGGGCACTAAAAGTGTCAGCAGTCCCTGTCCATTAGTGCCCTCACACAGGCAGTCCCAGATGCAGGCAGTGGAACTTGCTGGAGCTGCCGAGACTAGAGGCAGAGGGGAGGAGAAACCTGCAGGCTTTTCAGTGGGCAGCCAGCTGAATTGCCCCTCCGAGTTATTTCTGACTGATCGCAGGCTAGAAAAAAAAACAATTAACCCTGTTTGCCATGGTACAAAGCTCCGCACTGGCAGACCTAATAAAATCTTGTTTCTAGCCCGTGGGCCTTGTAATTGACATATGTGCTCTAAGGCAGTGGTTCTCAACCTGTGTAACCTCAGGACCCACATTTGTCTTTGGTCATTAAGTCGTGACTCAAATTGCACTGCAATGGAACGCACGGCATTGCCGTACTGCGCGTTCCGATGTGGACAATAGAACTGTGGGTGGGAGGTACATTTGGGGTGCCATTGAAATGAATGGCAATGCAATGCACTTCTCACACCAAAATGCATGGTAGGTGCGATTGCGAAGTAGTGTGTTAATCGCACGGGACTGTGCGTTTAACGCACTGTACTAGTTTGAATGGGCCCTCAAAAACACACAACCACAGACATAATCTCACGCACACATACACACTCCAAAAACAACAAAAACATTATTTTTTTAAGATCCACCCAGTCTCCCTACCTTATGAGAACTGTAGTGGAACCTTAGCCTGAGGTCCAGCGTGGGCTGCTGTGCTGTGATGGAGCTCCATCCATATGTGCATTGCTTGTACAACTCCCTGACACACCCTGCAGAGGTGCCAGAATGTTATGTCACACCAGTCCAGGCACCTCTACAGGACAAGCGAGGGAGCTGTAAGCAATGCACATATGGATGGAGCCCACCCTACCTCAAGCTGACACTCTGCAACGGGCAGCATATTTTGGCCGCTTGGCACAAGAACTGACAGTGCTGCGCTAGCGGCAGGCTGAGGAGCCTCACCTAGAAAAGTGGAAGGCACACGGGGACCCACTGAACACAGGGTCGCGACCCACTTTTGGGTCACGACCCACCAGTTGAGAACCAAGGCTCTAAGGGATTGTGTTGAAGGGCGAATGCAGCATGCTAACAGCTGCATTCTCGTTTACAGTTTACATCAGTTTGAGGGGCTTTTTTGCTCCAATCTTGCTCCAATTCAGTGTATGGCCAGCCTAATATCATTTAATAGCTCCAGTGTGTTGCTACTCCTATAGTTATGTGCCCCAGATGCATAGCTATCCTTGCAAGTTGTCAGGAATATAACAATTTGGTGGAAATTCAGTTTGCAGATGCCCATTCTCGACTGGTTCTTTTAAACTACTATTTTGCAAGGTACCCTCTAAGATCTTTAGACTCTCATATCTGTTATTATTCTCACAGAATTTCTTTCAGAGTATGTTGTGTAAGCAAGTTAACTAATAAATGACTTTTTTTTGTTTGTTCGTACCAATGTCAGATTAAAAGCATGGTTTCCCAGTGGGAAAGGGAATCGTAATGTTGCGGTGATTTTTAACTGACCACAAGTTCATGGTTTGCATTTTAGATCAATTAAACATAGACATTAAACATCAATTAAACCACAATGTCTAACAACTATTACTCATTGCGGAAAATGTTAATCTTTTGTATAATGTTGTATAATGTCCACAAAATAGATTTTGGTGCAATTAACATATATTTAAAAAAATTAGTTCTTCCCAATTGCTGATGTGCTTACAAAATAAATATTTGCTATAGAAGTTGGGAGCTCAGCTTTGTAAATGTAGCAAAGAAAGCCACTTGTATTAGCATTAAGCTGAGGTAAACAACAACACTCTTCAGATTCAGTAACACACGTTCATTAATCACTTCATTACCACTGGGACTACCCCATTCACAACCAAAATAATTGTCCAGGTTTGGAGCTATAGCAGTTTGACAATTGCTTCTTAGTACTTTTAAGTCTTTGTAAAAGCATTTGATATGTCTAGCACGCTCGGTTTTTCTTTTGGTACTATAGATTTTAAAATACATTTTGTTTAGTTTTTTTTTTCCCTCTGTTACCAAAATATAAACATAGAAAATTACATTTTGTTGGTGCCACCATAAATATATAATGAAACAGGCACAAGTGTGTTTTCTTCCCTGCAGCAAAGACTTAAATGGCTTCTAGGCATGAGATGACAGTTCCTGATGCGGCTATTTGGAGCCAGACTGGATAGCAATATCATGTCTGTGGTGTAAGGCATGTTTCCTCTAGCAATCAGCTGTCATGGGGAATGCTGATTGGAAAACTTGTCCCAAATGCTACATTTCATCCTGAATTAAATGGCATCAGCCGCCTCCTTCACCCTGCATTGACATAAATTATGCTAGGTTGGCAGAGCTATCCCAATGGGTTTATGAAGCACTGCACGGCGCTCCACAGATTTGCTGCCCTGTGGTTGGTTGCATTATGCCTGCTTTTGTGACTACTTTCTAATGTCTATAGGCGTTCGAAGCAAACATTTTCATCAAAGGCAAAAGTAGTTTGAAAGGAATATTGGGGCAACAAAGAAGTGGCTGTCGCAGTGATCATGTTAACTTGAGTTGCCAAGTCACACTATGATCTTACAATTCATAAACATTTAAAAACGCACCCAAAAACAGCAGTGACTTGATTAGATGTACAGTCATTGCATGACTTCGATCTACAGCAAGCAGTCATGAAGTGGTTAGAGATGGTACTGCATCTTATACTGCTTTTAATTGTTGATCACTTGAAAAGGCACGCAGATTTTCTGCTTCTGTATATGGGGCAAATCTAATATAATCACTGTAATACAGATTTCATGCCAATAAAAATGTTAGCAAATATGTTATGTTGACTTGCTATGTACAGACACATGCATATCTTGAATTGATGATGTCATTTAAAGCTAAATTCAAGGCTCCCTTAAAAATGAGCAGATTATAGGCACTGGGCAGCAATATAAAAATATGTTGGAGTAAATTATATAAAGTGCTGTTTACTGTTACAATAACCTTCTTACACTTCGGGTCAAACACACTACGTCAACTCCAAAATCTAAAGTAAAATGGCAACTCGAAAATGTGTTTTAAGCAGGTAAACGGCTGATGTCACTACAGTTACCTGGACTACTTTTCCCTTTAGCGTTGCTTAATTATGTGGTCATACATGGTTTTTTTAAGGGCAAAAAGTTTGAGTAGAAACCTAAAGAAAATTAGACTGAGGCCAAGTACGTACTTTTGCATTGGTTTTATTAGGTCAGACAAAAATGCCAGCAGCATATAGGATAGATTGCCTTACTTGATTGCTTTACATAAGCAGATGGAGGACTGGGAGCCGTAGGGCCCAGTCACACCACATCCAGATCATCACCAGACCAGATTGTTTCCGGACCCAAAATGCATTCTAATGTATCCCTATGCTATTTCTGGCCTCCGTTCACACCAGTGCAGTGCTTTCCAGACCAGAACATGCCCTTAGAAAGTGTTCCCCCTATGTGACTAAACAATAGGGTGGTTCCAGCACTGTGTTTTTGGTTTTCTTACAGACCAGTACTGCAGTTACTGAGCCACATCTTTACATGGGGCTTTATATCCCAGACTTCCACATTCATTTGACTTTGTCTTTTTATATAGGAGAGCTGCTGGCAGGTATAAAGGGAAGGCACTGCACTTGCCTGGTGTTTGCAACAGCTGTCATTCCTCTCAGCCATGGTCAATGGCCAGGTTCTTCTGAACTGACAAAGTTCTGACACTTCCTGGTAGTGATGGAGCCTGCTTGCCCCTTCCTCCCTTCATACATTCTTATTGGTGAGATAGCCCATTATAGTGATGTACCAGTAGAAATGTGTGTTAGTTGAGAGTGGCAATCTCCAAGACTACCCGAAAAAGTTGAAGCTTTGTCTGTTTAGAGTGGCCTGGCATTTTGGCTTGGCACTCTGCTACTGGGTGCCTGCACTCTTCATCTTCCATCACTGTCTTTAATATGACAACTCACATAAATGGGAGTTTATTATACACCTCATGTGCGCCACATTCTTCAGTTTCTTGACTGAAATGAATGGAGAGCAATTAGCAGTGGAAGGATTCATTGAATTGGGATTATTCAACTGCCTTGTTCACAGGCACTAGCAAATGGAGATTGATGCGAGTAAAGGAACAAATGCCTTACATTTATGAGTGCAAAATTTAAAGGTGAAAGGAATCCCAATAAAATAAATATTGTACATATGAAAGTAGAAATGCTTAGATAAAAGCACATGTCAAATTTTATAATGTGATGCTGACCTTACTTTTGTTCTGCTTTATAATAAAAATAGTAAACTCCATTGCACACGCCTGCCAGTATAAAATACTTTTTGCGTTGCACAAATAATGCCCTTTTTATATTGTATAACTTTTTTTTTTCGTTTGTTCAACATCACTTCATATACCATTTGTTAGTTAATGCTGTAATTATTTTAAAATTAATTTGCTAAATATTTGATTAATTCTCCTGTTGGTATATGCACATTAATGTGTTTGTCACTGCTTTACTGCAAGGCATTCGGTCCTGAACAATTGTGTGCAAAGCATTTGTCAATGCAAAAAAGAAATGGGAAGACTCTTTTGAAATTGGTTTAGGCTGTAATTTGTTTGATAGTCTATACATCCATGCAGGGCTGCTCTACTTTACTACAAAATAACATGTGCCTTCTTGCTTTCAGGAAAAAAGAATGGAGAAGTGGACAAGAACTTTGACACCCTTGACTTGCCAAAGCGTTCTGAAAATGCAAAAGGTACAGTGCTCATCTAAGTCCTAGATCCAGTGCTTGAGATTAAGAGTACAGGGAAATTCAGTAAAGCATTTGACACTTTTTTTTTTTCCTGGTGGTAGGTTCTCTTCAAAACAACCTACGCCTATTTCATGTTAGCCTTGCAACAGTTTCTCAGGGTTCTCAGTGGGGAATGTATGTGCTGGGAAGCTGGCATGAATGTGGATTGGTTGCTTGGACATCGGCAGCCACCAGCATCCTAGCAACCAATGACTCCTCTCCGGCCTCATTCAGCTGCCGGTCAGGAGATTGCCCAGCTGGTAGTTGAATGTAAAACAAGGGACCAGGAATGCTTACTAACATCCTTACCCAAATGTGGCCAAGGCCATATTTGGGCAATGTAGTCCGCCAGCATCCCTGCCCAGCCAGCATCACGTTGAATGTTCCAATTTTGTCATATAAGGTCCACATCATTCAGGAACAAGTGCCTGAAAAGCACTTAACTGTGTATACTAGTATTCTATAAATTGCATGTATATGTTTGTCGGTGTGATCTGTTGTTCAGTGTTGATGGTGCAATCCTTCTGGTCACTACAGCACCTGCATTACTGATCATAGGTCTTGGCTATCATTAGGTGTTCAACTGAGGGTTCCATTGTCTGTGGATGTCCCTAACACTACTATTATTTAGGAAAACAATAGGTGGTTCAAGAAAAATCCAGCCTAACTGTTAGTCTTTTTTTTTTTTTTCTTAAAAATTGTAACCTGACCGAGTCCAAGGTACACCAAAGTCGAAGCTCTGTCCCAATGACCTTGCAGGTATTGGGTGCTAATGATCTAATGTCTATGCATCCATTTGGTCTATATTTGATTTTGCTGTGAGAACTTGTATGCAGCATTAGCTGATTATTAACTTGTGTCACTAGAGAACCATTTAGAAATGATTTGAGTGCTTCTTGTACTTAGGTTTATTTATCCTGATTGCATTGTTGATCAGAGAGACAATGGGAAGGTACTCCACATTGCTTGTTTTGTTTGTAAAGATTGTTTTGTATAGGGTGACTCTCTAAGGGCCCCATACTATGCACCTAACTCATTTTGTTAAACTCTTTCTTTGTGGATCATTAGTACTTTGATTTTGTTTTGATTGCTGCACTAGCCAGTTATTGCTCAGCTGAGACCATACTAGATAGGATGGGAAGTCACTCGTGTCGATTTTGTCAGGTGAAAAGATAAGTAGTCACTGGAATTTTCTCACAAAGACAAGGTGACTCTCATTGCATGCATACAGTTCTCCAATCGCTTTTAATTCACCTGGATTGTTGCTTCTTGCTAGGCTAAAAGGAAGTAATTAAACTTTACGTTTATGGTTACGATTCCTGCTATATTCACTTTCAGGCTACACTCATACTGTTGCATATAGGGCTGCAACCAACTAATCAATCGATAATGAGAATCGTCAACGGTTCTCGTCATCGATTAGTTGGTATGGATCCCTTAGTTTCATTGGATTTGTGTCCTCTCTGATCCCCACTGCTTCCCCCTGCAGCTGGTGCCTAGTGATAAGGAGAGCTCCCCCACCGCTGCTCTACAGCTCTCTCCTCCCTGCTGGGATTTCGCTGCATGCTGCAGTTTATGGCCTCTCTAATCCCCTCTGTTCTCCCCCGCCTGTATCCGCAGAGGCAGCGGGTATCGGAGGGGACACATACTGCTGCAGCCGGTGCCCAGTGGTAAGAGACCAGCTGTTAGCCAATGCTGCAGTGACTCTACATTGGGTGCAATAGCCAGCTTGCTATTGCAAATTGTAATGGCCAATAGCAGGCTATTGCATCAGCCCACTGCCTGCAAATTGTAATGGCCAATAGCAGGCTATTGCATCAGCCCACTGCCTGCTGTTTCTGTTTGCTAATGACTGTATTATTGGCTGTGCTCTATATTTCTAAAAAAATAATGATCAAAACTGGGGAACGTGGCGGTGCATTGAAGTAAATGGCACCGCAGCCACGCCCCCACAGTGTGATCAGACAAAACATTGCCTGTGTTCCGTTCCACTGCAAACGCAAGAAATAGAGCAAGCACGTCCCCTCCCGCACCAGAACGCAGGGGGGAAGTTTTGTGTTCCAGCAGCTACCGTTCTGGAACGCACCGCAATTGATGTGAACATGCCCTTAGTCTAGCCAAAAATTCTACTTTTACATATTGGTAGAACTTGGTGAGTTAAGCCAGTTGCTGGCTTTAAGTATCTTGGACACTCCAACAATGAGCACTTCTTCCCTGTCCATCTGGGAGTGTTGGGTGTTCCTATCCAAATTTGCATGTTACAGCTTTTCTGCATAAAAAAAAAAAATGGCAGGCAGAGCAGGGACCTCCTTAATAGAGCCAGAGCCCTAGTAACTGATCTTGCCAATAAAGACCCTAAAACACAAAATATCTCACTATAACTCTCCAGTATCTACCAAAATCTGAATGATTGGTTTGGTAGGCTGGTCCTTTAAATTATAAAAAAAATACTCTGTTATCTATTAAAGTTTTAAAAGTTATTATAAAGGAAAGTTATATGGCATGTCTGAAAAGATTCTATAACATTTGTTGCAAGTCTGAACAAAACTTTATACAGAAGCCTAAATATTTGTAAATATGTAGCGCATATCCAGTTTACAAAGTTGAATTTGATAGTGACCTATGGCAAACCTGCATTGGCTCGTCAGAGTAAGGCCCTGTTCACACCTAGGCGTTTTTGAGCAGTAGAAAGAACTTAAAAACGCCCAACACAAGAAATCCCATAATTTTCAATGGCTCCTGTTCACACCTGAGCAGAAAAACGCCAGCAGCAAAGAGCCAAATGCAGAAAAAAAGTACATGAGCTTCTTTTGGCAATGTGCAGCTTGGTTTTCCCCCCCCCCATAGACTTCAATAGAAATGCCCGACAGATACTTTTTGCGCATTTGGCCATTGATGGCAGTTACTCAAGCTGCCACTTAAACCACGCGTCTTCATGTACAAAATGTGCATAAACAGCAGAAAATGCAGGTGTACACACACAAACGATGATACCATTGGTGTGAACAAGGCCTCACAGTTTGTATTTGGGCTGTACACAGATCAGATGGAACACCACCTTACTGTCAGACTTGCATTGCCCAGCTATGATGCTGGTATCCCAATTGATCTAAATATTAGGTCTCCCAAAAACGTATTTTCATCTCACCCCAATTTAAATAGACACACAAAACAAAATTGTATGGGGCTTGTATGGTTGAGCCAGTTTAAAAAGAATTTCCAAAACTTTTATTGACATAGAAAACATTCAAATATCCATGAACACCATTAAAAGCAAATCTTACTTGTTAGAGGATTATCAAAGTCTTGAGCAAGACTAATTAGTTGCATCTATTTATACAAAACCCATATGGTCTCAACTACTAGATGTCATAAGGTGCCCATACACTGTGCGATTATCGCACGATAATCGCGGGAAATCCCGCGATCGTACGATAATCGCGAAATGTATGTAAGGCGTGCGACCCTTTTTACTGTACGGTCGCACGTCTTTTGTCTAAGGAGCATGCTAGAAAACCAGCCGAGAATCGTACGATTTTCAGCTGGTTTTTAGCATGATTGTAAGATCAATGCCGCACGGGCCGGTGTGCGCACGTGCACACTCACCGTTCAGCATTGCGGTCATCGGAAGCCCGCCCCTCAGTAAATTACTTTACAACCATCGCAAGACTGAGGTCTTGCGTTGGTTGTAAAGTGTATGGCCACCTATAGTGTGATTTCACCATTGTTCAATTAGGCCTTGCTAACACCAAATGCTGATCAGATCTCCATGAGTTTCTGCACACGCAGTGCAGGGGGTTGTGCCGTGTTTTTGATGCGTTCCGGGCCGTTTTTGGTTAAAAAAAAAAGATATATATATTTTTTAGTTTCAAATGGGCTTTCAGTGTGTTCCAGGCGTTTGCATGTGTTCCAGAGCAGGTAAAATAGGGCCTGCTGCATTTTTTTTACCTGCTCTGAAACTGAACGCTGCGATGTGAACTGGAGCTAAAAATACTATTGGAATACATTGGACGCAGTTTTGCTCCGGTCTGTAACTGCTCTGCTCCGCGCTTGGTGTGAACAAGCCCTTATTCCACCTTCAGTGCGTTTCACATCCCTTCATCAGGAAGGTGAGTGAAGTAATCTATGGTTCTCAAATACCAAATCATTAATACAACATATTCACATATGGAGATTACAATAGCATATTTTTAACCATATTCACCTACTTGTAGGTATTGTGATTACAATCCAAGTATTTAGGAAAATAATCTATTAAAACCCAGTAGGAGATGCTACCACCCTAACAAAGAACCCTCAGGCACTAGGAGAAGGTAGATAACCGGAGAAGTGCACCTCCAATATCTAAAGGCAATACATTCATGCCCGTATGGAGTTATCTTCATATAGTATGTTAACTCATTTTTAACAATAAATTGAAGTGAGCTGAAGCTTACCTTAAGGACAGGAAACGAGTGTTCCCAAAAAGCCTGCTAATTCCCCCTTATAGCTTCATTGAATGACTACAAATAACAACATATTGCCATCACTATCAAAATTCATGAGAAATTGTAATTGGGCAGCTCCAAATTGTGTGGAAAGATGGTAGCCCACTAACCTGACATAGATGTATTTCCTTGTCCGCAGCACACATGGGATGCGGATATCCTGGCAATATGGGAATGCACAATGGCAACACTTGGACATATTGGGTGTACCAAAGGGAAACATGTAGGTTTCCTTTTTTACATGGAAAACTGATGAAAGTGTTGCGACTAAGAAGGTACAGCAGCACTGAACTTTCAATTTCTTCATTAAATGTTGTAAGATCCTTTGAATGCTAGGTCCAATAGCACCACCACTGTTGTAGATTCAGTGTGTAGTGGGATGGAAAAGCATCTGTAGAGGGAGAGATGCACCACGTGGTCTGTTGCCACACTGATGTCTGCATGGTTGGCTTCAACTTATTTCCTGATGTGTCCCAA